CTCACTTTTTAATTGTCCTGGCGTGAACTTTGACGGTTCGGTTTTCGTGGGGTGGTTGCAGCGGGAGTTGGCGTCAAATGTCGGACATGGTCCCGCCATGTTTCTGACGGCCTTGCCGGGCACGCTCGACTCCAGAACTCGAGTCCCACGTCTCCCCCGAGGACGAGAGACAGAGAGGGAAAACTGAGAAGGAACAAGAGGAGAGGAGGAGAAGGAGCAGGATGAGGAGGAGGAGGAGGAGGAGGAGGAGGAGGAGGGGGGGGAGAGACAGGGAAGGGGGATGCAGACGTTGATGAGGAGGAGAAAGATGAGGGGGGCGGAGGAGGTAGGATGGAGAAGGATGACGAGGGAGCAGGGCAGATCGGGCAGTGTGGCTTTCGGGAGGTGCTGGAGGTTGTATCGTGGCGCCTTCGGGCGTTTCCTGGGTGTTTTGTTCCTTGGCGTCGCCAGGGGTCCTCTCGTGTCTGCGGATCGATTCTGGGCCCTCTCCCCCGAAAAGAGTGCCCGCAGGGTCGGAGGAGGAGCGGGGACTTTAAGGGCAGAGCGGAGGAGGTGGGGTTTTCGAACGTTGGTGGCGGTTCTCTGGGGGCGTGTCGATGTTTTCAGACGGGTCTCGTGGGCCTTCGACGGGTTCCCAATGTGCTTAAACTACGCTCGTTGCTCTGGAAGGTCTGGCGGGGTCCGAGGGGGAGCAGCAGGAGGAGGAGGAGGGAGGAGGAGGAGGTGGAAACGGAGGATGATGAGATGAAGGAGAAGACGATGCGGAGGAGATAAGGTGAAGGAGACATTGTGGAGGAGGGGGAGGAGCAAAAGCGGTGGTACGAAGGAGGAGGACAAGGAGGAGGAGAAATAATATATGAGGAGAAGGAGGACGAGAAGTATGACATGAGGGGTAGGAGAACAGAGATGGGGGAGGAGGAATTTGGTTTCAGGTTTCAGGAGGTTTCAGTTGTTTGCAGGGCGGTCAGGAGGCACTTGGGGCCCCACTGCGGCCCATTGAACAGAAGGGATGAGGATTCTGAGGCGAAGGAGGGGAAGATGAGGAGGGAGAGTTTTTTCACGGGATGACGCAGAACAGGGAATCGGATGAGAACGATCAGGGACGGTGATGATGAGGAGCAGGTTGACGACGACGACGACGACGACGACCAACCCAAGCAGAATAGGGAGCAGATGGAGGAAGTGGAGGAGAAGGAGGATCAGCAGCGACACGCCAGGAACATGTGGTGCACCCGAAGCGTTGGGCCTCCCCCTGCGCTTCCTCGTCGCTCTTTTTCCTCCGCCCTCTCTTCTCTTCCTCCTCCCCCTTGTGTTCCGTCCTGCCGTCATCTTTTCGCCTTCCAGCATTCTTCCCCCCTCGTCCCGCACTTCCCCCCCTCCTGCCTCCGTTATCATTCCTCTTTCCTTCTCCTCCTGTACGTTCCCGTCGCCAGTCTCGTGCCAGGCGCCTGGCTCCCTAGACGTCCCACGCTGGGCTCTTACACAACGTGGCTCTTCAGAGGTCTGGACCCCTTCCCGTGGACAACTTCCTCGTCCCAGGTCGTGTTCTGACGGCCCTGGGACTCAGAAAGGGCCCCTCGGGGCCGAAAACGCCTAAAATCTCAGCTTTTTTTTGACAAAAACGTCTCCTCGTTGCGAGGATGTGTTTTGTTGGTTCTCCAGCGGCCGTGCGGGACGATTCGAGCACCCTTGGGGCGTTCTCGGCGAGGCGCAGCTGCTGGAGTGGATCCCGAGGCAGGAGGGGCCTCTGGGAGCGTTCGAGGACGTTAGACAGCGCGGGCCACCTTCGGATGCAACTCCTGGGAGCATTCCTTCAGCGAAGGCGCTGGCAGATCCGTGGCCGGAAGCCAGCCTAACCCAGTGAGTCCCGTTTTCTGTCAACACGCTGCCCCAGCCTGTGCTTGCAACGAGGGGGTCCTACTTGTCTTCTATGATGGGCCTGTTTTCCACCACCACCACCATAAGTTGGAGGGGGGAAGGAGGAGGAGGAGGAGGAGGAGGAGGAGGAGGAGGAGGACCCCCCACTCCAACTTATGGTGGTGGTGGTGGAAAACAGGCCCATCATTCTAAGGCAGCTGCGCTCCAGGGTCGCCCCGGCCGGCCCGTTGCCGCCCGTCGCCGCCCGTCGCCGCCCCTCGCCCCATGGGCCCGGGTGCCGTCCTGGCCGGCTCGTCGACGGCCGTGGCCGCCCGTGGGCGCCGTCGCCGTTTGGCCCCCGTGGCGGTACGGCCTGCTCGCCACCGCCCGTCGCTGCGTTGTTCTGCACTGCAGTCGCATCACGTCAGGTCGCAGCCGCACTGCTGTGTTGCAACCGCAGTGCAGTCGCAGCGCAATCGCGTTGCCTTTCTTATTTCAATCGCAGCAGTTTGCTTTGCGTGGCCTTGCGTTGCTTTGCGTGGTCGTGCCTTGCTCTCGATTTCAGCGCAGGGTGAAAGGTCTCCGCAGTAGGGTCTCTCCACTGGGCTGTGGACTGCCCAGCTATAGTCTACGTAGTATGCGACCGGGTACGCTTGTCATCCAATGTTGCCTGCCATATAAGGCCAAGTGGGATGTGTCCGCGCGATGCGGCGAAGCACGACGGAGCGCGCTCTGCCGCCGGCCCAGCTCCGTCCCGGGCGTCCGCCAGCATGAAGACGGAACGGGCCCCACTGTTTTTTGACGAAGTGTGAAGTCACATTTGGCGTTGCTCCAGAATCTAAATTCACATGTTGCCATCTCTGTCCAACGCAATACACATCTCCAGCATGTGAATTCGCATTCTGTGTTTTCCTAAAGTGTAAGTTCAACTTTTGCGTTTTCCAGAATGTGAATTTGCACTATACGTTCGCCCAACATGTGAATTCACATGTTGCTTTTTGCAGCGCAGGGTGTCCGTTCTGCTTGCGCTGAGGACAATATAGTGCCGATGCGTTACCGCCAACGGTCGCCGCTCGAGCGTTGCATTCTTGCCTCAAGCTGCCCATGCGAAGTTGATGTCAGTCATAACGGTGCGCTTGAATGAGCGATAAATTGACGATGCAGCACCCATTGAAGAGTCCCTCATGAGGGGACCTTCTTTCACCCTCCAACAAGTGCTTTGCATTGCTTGGCATTTGCCGTGCACTGCTTTGCACTACATTCCAAACGCGTTGCTCTGCATTGCGTTGCTTTGCTTGGCATGGTTTTTCCAACCATCCTGTGGTGTTGGGTCCTCGTTTTGAAGAGACGGCCCCCGCGTTCCTTTCCTCTTCTCCTCCTCCTCCCCCTCCCTCCTCTCCACCGCCTGCATGCGTCCCCCACACCCATTTCGGCACATCCATCACACGTTTCGTGGCCCCATAGGGAGCTCCACCGAAGACCCCAGTGGGACCGCCCGCACGCGTCCCCCACACCCCATTTGGCATTTTCGCCCACCCAGTACAGCGCACCCAGTTTGGCATTTGCACACACCTTTTACAACGCTTCGCGGCCCCATGGGGAGCTCCACCGGAGCCCCCGCATGCGTCCCACACGCCTAATTTGGCATTTTCACCCACCCAGTGCAGCGCTTCGTGGCCTCATAGGGAGCTTCACCGACGGCCCCAGTGCTACCGCCCGCATGCGTTTCCCCCCGCCCAGCGCAGCGCTTCGTGGTCCCATAGGGAGCTTCACCGAACAAGATATTCACAATTGCGGTACCCACAACTTCATATGGTTGGGTCCTTCGCCAGGGTAGTTGCATTGCGCTATATTGGGATCGCATTGCAAGTGCTTTGCATAGCTTCGCATTGCAATGCAGTTTTGTGCTGTGCATGTATTGACATGTCATGTCTGTGCGTTGCATTTATTTCAATTTATGTGCATTGCAATCGCTTTGCAATATCATTACAATCGCATTGCATGTTATTGAAATGCATGGTTTTGTTCTGCACTGTTTCCAATTTCGTTGCATTGCTTTGCGTTGCTTTGCCTTGCCTTTTTAATGGTTTGCATTGCTTGTCGTTGCGATAGCATTGCGATCGCATTGCTTTGCAGTGCATTGCTTTGCAGTGGCATTGCAGTGCGTTGCATTGCTTCGTCTTGAACTTGCATTGCTCTGCATTGCGTCGCATTGCTTTACATTGCATTGTTTTGCATTGCGGTGCACTGCATTGGTTTGCGTTCTTTTGAATTGCGTTGAATTGCTTTGCGTTACAATCGCTGTGCGTTGCTTTGCGTTGCCTTGCATTGCTGTACATTGCTTTGCATTTCATTTCTTCGCGTGGCGTTGCAGGGCCCGCTGGTTTCCACTACATTGACTGCACCACATGGAGTGCATCATCTAGATTGCTCCACGCCGTTTGCCACCTAGACTGCATTTTATAGCCTGCAAGACATCGCTTTCCAGGGCCCACGCCGGCTAGCATGTGGTTCGATCCAGTTCCATTCAGCTTAATCCTGGTGGGAATCCTGGCACAACCCACACACACACGTACATCTTCTATTATGCGTGTGTCGCCCTTCTTGGGGGCGAGGCGCGGCCAGGAAGCTCACAGCAACATGCCCTCTGGCCACACCGCTCGGGCAACGGTGGACGACACAGACGTTGGTATATTATCTGCTCGCCTCGGACGTGCGCCTCCCACAGGGGCGCCTCCTCCTCCTCCCCCTCCCCCTCCCCCTCCTCCTCCTTCTCCTCCTGCTCCTCCTCCTCCTCCTCCTCCTCCTCCTCCTCCTCCTGCTCCTCCTCCTCCTCCTCCTCCTCCTCCTCCTCCTCCTCCTCCTTCTCCATGCCCGTTAAATCAGCCTCAGTGGCTTTCAGCCGTCCCCACCGCCTTTACCATCGCCGCAAGCATTCGCAACATCATCATCGCTGGCATCTTCTTCTTCTTCGCTAGCACAGCGGATGCACCCAGGCAGCATCACGGAGACTGATGTACACCACAAGCTGTATGACGTAAGAAACAAGCACGTACCGACATCACCCGCGAAGGCCTCCCAGAAGCCACCTTCGAAAGCCCTCCGAACCTCAAGCGCGGGATCCGATCCGTCGCCCCCCAGAGGCGGGGGCCCGCGGCCCTGTCGTCGGCCCTGTCGTTTGCGGCCTGGCTGCCGTCCACGTGGTCCGCGGTTTGCTTCCTCTTCGCGCAGGCAGCCGCATTTGTTTGTTCTCTTCCGCCTCGCCGCCGGCGCGGTTCCGCCCACCGTCGGCGTCGCGGCCGTTTTTTGAGGCAATCGTCGTCGTTGTCGGAAGAGGAGGGGTGATAGGGGGAGGAAGGAGGAGGAGGAAGAGGTGAACCAGTGAAAACCAAAGACGCGCCAACGATGCTGCAATTCGTCCTCCCTCCAAGCTCCCTGTGGGCCTTACAAGATTTTACCTTCATTGCGGGAAGCGATCCACTAGAAGAAAACGTTTGAGAGCCGTCGGCCGTGACAAAACATCATTCTTGGGACTTCAACGCCGCGGATCAACGTGACTGCTGCGTCCTGGCAGTCCTGAATGGTGCCAACACACAAATCTAGGGACTTCATGACCGCGAATCAACGTGACTGTTGCGTTTTGGCAATCCTAGATCGTGCCAGAACGCCATTTCTGAGATATCAGCCCTACGAATTCTTGGAACTGCGACCTTTTAAATCGAATGCGCGCATCGCTAAGGCGAGCACCACATTTTCAAACGCAGCTAGCTGCCCTCTATGTTTGAAGCTGTTGCGACCTTTTTAGAACGACTGTGCGAGGCCTTTCGAACGATTGTGCAAACCAGCCGCCCTCCGTCCGTGAACCAGTTGCAGCCACTATGACGAGCATGCGCCGCGTTGAGGCGATAGCAGCATGTTGAAACCAACCCTTCCGTCATGCTCGAGGCCGCGGCGCTGAAGTGAGGGCCACATTTTGAAAACGACACGCCCTCATCCCGTGAAACTGTTGCAAACTGGAAGTCTCAGGATCATAGCTGGTGAAGAACTCCCAGGCGAAATGCCTTGCCCAGCCTACCGTCATGTCTGTGGGTGCGACAGGGAGGAGTTCGGTTATAAATAAAAGGATGAGGGAGGGGAGGGTGAAAGACATGACAATAAGGACGGGAGAGAATAGGACGAGGAGGTGGAGGCGGACGAGGAGGAGGAGTAGGAGGAGAAGCAGGAGGAGGCGAAGGAGGAGGAGGGGGAGGCGGAGGAGGAGGACGGGGAGGAGGAGGAGGAGGAAAGGGAAGGGTAGAAGGAGGAAGGGGAGGAGGTGGAGGAAGAGGTGGAGGAGGGGGAGGAGGAGGAGGACATGGAGGAGGAGAAGGATGATGAGGAGGAGGGGATGGATGGAGGAGGAGGAGGAGGAGAAGGAGGAGGAGGAGGGGGAGAAGGGCCGGTAACATTATTGTTGTTGATGGAATGCCATTTTGGCCCCTGCTGGGGGGGGCGCGCCCCACCACCCGCGCAAGGGGGGGCTGGCCACTGCGCGCCGCCACCAGGGAAGCGCATGTGACCAGCTGGCAAAGTAACATCTGACGCGAGGAAGATCATCCACCAGCTGACGAACGACAAGCTAGATCATATTACCCACCAGCTCACGAACTACAGGCTGGACGTCCGCAACATCGGCTACGAGAAGTACCCACCCCGGTGGAGACTACCAGCAAGATGCCGAGACCATACTGGCATCGAAAAGTACGGACTGATTCAGCCCCCAAGGCAACAGACTACCTCATCCAACGCGGGCTAGAACCACACTTCAACGACATCGTGACCATCGCTATGACCACCCTTTTGAACGCGTTCGTTACAGGACGGGACGAGCTGCGTAACATGCAGCTTGAGGAAGAGCTGCGTAGCATGCAACCAGAGTAATGGATGCGCAACGGGCGGCCAAAGTACGACGCCGCGTGCACCGCCACGACCGACGCCAGGAAAGACACGATTGAGCAGCCCGAAGTGATTACTAAGTGTGTCGTCGTGGAGATGCCGGTGGACAGTGGCCGCGCCGCCTACGACGAGTGTGACTACGGCCGCTCTGCCTACGGCGAGTGCTGCTACGACAGTGTGTTCAGTAACGACTTGTACTCTTACGCCCCCCAGCACTACGACGGACCGCGCGGCTACGACAACCGCCAGGACTACAGGGACATCGTGAACGTAAATCACTACGACTGGCCTGCCGACATTCCGACTTGGACCCCGGGGGCTACGAAAACAACGTGCCTTGGATTTGCTACAGACGCCAGTAAAGCTACCAGGGCCACCAGACGACCTTCGGGGACGACAAGCCGAATTACGAGGACCACGCGCACAGCTGGGAGAGCCGCCAGAAAAGCGTCAAATCCTGCACGCTATGCTACGATACCTCCACCAAATCCAAGAGAGTCACAAGCTGAATTACGAGGACCACGAGCTGAGATATGTGAGCCACAACCAGAGCTACAGGAACCACATCTAGAAGCACGCGGAGACCCACCCGCCGCGCTGCGAGAGCCACCTGCCGAGCCACGAAGGCCACGAGCTGAGCAGCGAGGGCCGCAAGCTGAACCGCGAAAGCCGCGAGCAGCTGAACCACGAGGGTTGTCTGCTGCTCTACGAGAGCCTCTAACAGAGCTGCGAGGATCACCAGCTGAGATACCCGAGGCACCAGATGCGCTAAGAGGACCACAGGCGCAGCCACGAGAGCTACGAGGGCCACCTGCTGAACTACTTGACCCCTTTTCAGGGCGACTGGGGCGACGAGCTGGACAGCAAGGGCTGGGAGCGCAATTCCGAGACCCACCAGCCGAGCTTCGAGACCCACCAGCTGAGTTACGGAGGCATTGCCTGAGGTATGCGTGCCACAAGCAACTACGAGAGCTTCCCGCAGCGCAGCCATGGCGACGGGCTGAACTGCAAGTACCACCTGCTGAGCAAGGAAAGCCACCAGCACTACGAGGACCACCTGCCGAGCTACTGGGACCGCGCGCTGAGCTACCAGGGCCACGCGCAGGCCTTCGAGTACCACAGTCAGCGCCCAGAGGACCGCGAGCTGACCTACGAGAGCTACGAGGACCACCTGCTGGGCAGCCAGGGCCACGGCCAGAGCAAGGCGGACCAGAAGAAGACCCACGATAGCCTCTTGCAAACTTAGCGGGGCGACGAGCCCAATTGAAAGACCCAGATGCAGAATTTCGAGAGCCACAAGCGCAGCTGCAAGGGCCACCTGCGGAACTACCAGGGCCACGACGAGAGACGCCTGCAGAGCCACGAGGACTTCGTGCTGAGCTACGAGGACCAAGGGTATAGCTGCGTGACTTACGAGCTGCGAGGCCCGCAACTAGAGCCACGCGGGCTTCTGGGAGAACTACCAGAGCTTCCTGCGGAGCATCTGGGTGACCGAGCTGACATTCGCACCTGCTGGGCTAAGAGGGCTTCGACTGGGTCTGCGAGTCTCGCAGCTCGAGCTGCGCGGGCCGCGGGCAGAATTGCAAGAGCCACCCGCAGAGCTACTAGGGCGACGAGCTGCGCTGCCTGCTGAAGAAGGCCAGCCGCCAACAGAGCTACGAGGACCGCCTGCCGACCTACTGGGGCCGCTCGCCGAGCTACCAGGGCCGCGAGCAGGGCCTCGAGGACCACGGGCAGGTCTCGACGCAACGGCGGCTGAACTGCGAGACCCACGGATGATCTGGACTACCGGAAAGCTGATCGCAACGGGCGACGCAGCACAGGGTGGACTTGGCAAGACACGCCGCGATTGCGTCGCCGAGAGATCAGGCGAGACGCCCGCCATCGCCCGCTGGCTGGATGGCACGACTCGCTGGCTTCAGCGCGCGGCACCTCGCCGGCTGCAGTAGCTGCGGCGAGACCAGCTTGCCTGGAGTTGGAGAAGTTTACGACCTACAGAGCTATGCACAACGGTGTACAAGTACATCGCCACGCGCAAAATATTTCGTCTAATTCATTGAGCGGTGGCCCCGTGCCCGCGACGGGCGGCCGGCCGCCCGCGGCCGCCCGCGCGCGCGCGACCGCGGGCCAGAGACCCCACGACCCTCGCCTTGGGATAATCGCATACCCCCCCCTTGCCCTCGAGAGTCGGTTATCCTGGGCCAAGGCAGGTTTTGTTAGGGTAGAGAGGCGGCAAGGCCGAATTTGATTATCGCGGGGAAAAGTCGCGAATCGAAGTTGCTGTCTTCTTAATCTTATGTTGAATGGCAAGGCGCCCCCGGGAATCCGGTTTTCCCCCTCGGGGGTCCGATGGGCGCCCTGGGGAATCACGTGGATGTCCAATTGATTCGCATGGATACTCCAAGAAGGAATCCGGTGGATTTCCCTAGTTGCCCTCGACAACGGAGCCCAGCCCCGCCGCGGCGATCGAAAGACGAGCGTTTGGCCGGCCAAGTTCGCGGGCCAGTTCGCGGGCAAGCCACAGCTCAAGCGACTGCGCGCGAGGGCCCGAGGGCGGCGAGGCCGCGCTTGAGCGTCTGGGCCGAGGCGCGGCCAAGGCGAAGCTCGCGGGCAAAGCCCCGAAGGGCGAGACGAGCTGCCGCGAGAAGTCCAGGGCCAAAATGCAATCGGAGAAGAACAAGAAGTAGGCGAAGGCCAAGAGCAAGGCGGGCCTCGTGGCCTGCAAGGGCCCCCCGTGACACGGCAAGGTGGCCCGCGTCACTGAGGAAGGGGCCCGCGGATGCATTCGCGGCTTTGTCCAGGGCGCCTGGCGAGTCCTGGGCGCCGCGGGCGCCCGCCGTCTCCGAGCGCGTGAGGAGGGCTCGGAGGATATGGGTTCGGAGGATCGCGCCGCGTCGCCGACGCATCGCCGATGCGGTCCGATGTTTTTCCGCGCTGACGTGGCCGATGCGACGTCGATGTCGCCGATGCATGGCCGAGGCATGGCCGATGCGTCGCCGATGCGTCGGCGATGCTGCGCTTCTTCCGACCGCGTCTGAGCGGGCCCCATCTAGGAGGCGTCTAGCAGGTCACCTCGGCGCACCGAGCTCGCCAAGCAGTGCGCGACCGTGAACTGTGAGCAGATCAACGAGGGGGGCGCCCTCGATGGGCACGGCGAACGCGCGCTCGGAGAGATCGAGGAGCGCGCGGGCGCCCCCGAGAACGCCCCAGCGATTGAGCCCACGGCGGCCGCGGCCCGGGCCCGGGGGGGCCCCAGGGCGCGGGCGAGCCCGCCGCCCAGAGGCCGAGGGGCAGAGGTGCTGGGCCGAGAGAGTCGAGATGGCCGAGCGCATGCTGAACTCCGAGGCCCCCGCGCTCAACGCCCATTTCAAGATGTCCAAGCAGGGGGCGGGCACCGCCGTCGAGCGCCGCGACGGCGCCAGGCAGCCGTCCGAGAACGCCGAGCAGGCCGCCGCGAGGATCCTCCGAAAACTCGGCGCCATCGGCCCTGCCGAGGAACGCAACGGGTTGTTCCAAGCAGACGGCTGGTCTTGCGGGCCTTGGGTGACGAGGCGGGTCGAGCGCGCCTTGCGCGAGATCCGGGGCGAGGGCCGCCGGCGCCCGTCGGCGCCGCCCAGGCGCGCGCCCGAGGTAACGAGTGGACCCAGAAGCTGCCGGGCTCGACGACCACTCCGCCACGGCCAGGGCCAAGGCCGAGGCAAGAAGCAAGGGCAAGGCCGAGCCGCCGAGTGACCCGACAGCGCCATAGCCCAAGGACGGCAGCTTCGGGGAGGCACAGGCCGCCGCGCAAGCGCGCGCGAAGTGCCACCCGCGCAAGGGCGGCTTGAAGGATCCCGAGCCTGCGTGGGCGAGTAGTTCGAGCGCGTGCTCAAGGGAGGTTTTTCGGCGAGAACCGTCGAGGACCTCGAGCTCTCAGGCAAGCTCCAGAAACCAACTCTCGCCGAACACCGAGAGCCGTAAGGGCGAGGAACCATCGTCTTCCTCATCGTCGCCATCATCGCTCTCATCATCTTAGAGAGCCTCTTTATATTTCCATTGGAATCCTATCGATGTTCAGGAGGAGGGAGGAGGGAGGAGGAGGGAGGAGGAAAAGGAGGAGGAGGAAGAGGAGGAAGAGGAGGAAGGGAGGAGGACGAGGAGAAAGAGGAAGAGGAGGAGGAGGAGGAAGAGGAGGAGGAAAACCCAGAAGAGGAGGAGGAGGAACCGCCGCGGCTGGGTCGGCTCCCTGCGCTAGGCGGCTTTGCCGCCGCTCGCGGCACGACGCTCGCGGGAGGCCGTGCAAGCGCACGGGCCGCGCTCCAGAAAGGGACTCCGCCTTCGGCGCGGGCGGTCTCGCCCTCGGCGGAAGGCTGGCGGACGGGTGGCAGAAGTAGGCGTTCAGCGCTGCTTTGCCCCACTGTCCTCCACGCGTTGTGAAGCAATCGCGGCGGGAGGTGTTTCAGCCATTTCCGGCCCCCCGCGGCCCTTGCTGGGCCTCGGACCTGTTAAACCACGACTCAGGATGAGAAGCGGGCCCCGGGGAGGGTGTCCAGATCTCTGGGGAACCGCGTTGCGAAAAAGTCCCCGACAGAATCTTACGCGCTTCTGTCGCGCCACTGTCTCTGGAACTGTGGGCGTGTAGCGTTCGGACAAGAGGAGGACGTGAAACGGCGGCGGCTCCGCCAGCGGAAGCTGGCTGAAGCCGGGCGGTCGGGAGGGGTTGCCCCGGGGCCCCGGGGAGCCGTCTCCACAGAGGCGTGGGGGTGGGGCCGCAGGTGATTCCGCTACCTTTTTCGCCAATCTTTCCAAGGGCCCTACAGCACAGGTTTTAGATTTGCCGATTCTTTCGGGCGTTTTATAAAGGCCTCTCACGAGGCGTTCTGCTGAGGGGCGGCGAAACGGCGGAGTTAAGAAACGAGGCATCACCGGGATTCCAAAGTACGGCCACGTTTCGGCCTGGCCCAGCAGGACCTACGGCGGTCTCCACGGCCAGAGGGGCGATTCGGCATGCGCCGCGAGTTCCCACCGCGGCTGCGAATCCCCATCCTGCTGCAGGTGTCCGCAGCAGCTTTGGTTCGAGCCATTCGGGAGCAGTTTGTTTCTGATCACAACGGCGGCTTGTCTGACCGTCCTTCGCACAGCTACGTTTGGCTAAACGGAAGAGTGACCCTTCGCCGGCGTGAGCTTTGGTGCGCGGCTTCCGGGGGTCGCAGGGGCGCCATGCCCAAGCATGCTAGCCGCTACTGGCGCGCCGCCTGTCACAACCGGCAAGCCGCGCACCGACTGCCCGCTCCTGCCCAGGGCTCTTCTTGCATGTACCCGACAATTCAGTCGAAGGCGCCCGCTGCCCTGGAGATGGTCTCTACTCCGCTAGTCGTCAGCCAGGACTCCACCATCGTAGTGAGGCCGGCACCACCCCAACATACTCATACCACTGTGTGCGTCGGCCCCGCATGGGCGACGCGCGCGCTCAGAGCTCTTCTAGTTTGAGCTCCTCGGCGGGTGCTTTCTGGGCATGCCTCTCGGGAAACGACATTCCGGAAGAGTTGTACACTATATATATATATATATGTATATATATGTGTATATATATATAAATAAATTTATATCTATATCTATATCTATATATATATATATGCGCTCGCGTCGGACGTGCGCCTCCAACATCAGCACATGGCACCAGCATGTCCCTCTGCCTCCCATCAGGCGCACATTCATCGAGGAGGTGGACACGCCGGGAGATGCGCCTGGCGCCCTCCGCACGCGCTGCTGCTCCGACTCGGCGCTGCTCCGGGTGGGCGAGCCGCGGCACCCGTGGCACACGGAGAGCGAGGCGGCGTGCGCTGCCTCGGACGCGGACCTCGGAGATCAGAATCCGCATGTGATCGTTTTTTAGTATTTTTTTTGCCGATCGGCGCGGGCCCACGCACCCCCCCCCCACCCGCCCCCTCCATGGAGTAGATCTTGGCTGTGTTGGGCGCCTGTTGCAAGCAGGTTGAGTCTCCCCCACAGGACGCACGGTTCCAAACAGTCGCACTGGGCAGAGGTCTGGAGCCAGAGCCATCTCCTCACCCCCCCTTCCGCCCAATGTCGAAACGCCGAATAAGAAAACGCTCACCATGCTCATACGGTCAGGAACGTTTGGATGGCGAGTCGCGCCGCCAGTTCTCGCCCACCACTTGGGCGCGACGCGCTGTCCATTTCCCAGTCTCACGGCTTCAGCGTCCCGAGCCTTCCCGCGGCGCGCTATCCGCTCGCCGGGCACAGCATGTTGCCAGGGCCACCGTGGCAGTTCCCGACCGTGAACATTTGGAGATCCGCACGGCTCTTTCGGATCAGCGATGGCCCCCCCTCCCTGGCGCGCAAAGCGTGCCATTGGCGGCGCCGGAGACGACCGCCCGGGGAGGCCCTGGCGCCGATCCAAGAAAAGTCCGCAAGGGCCTCGAAACGTCTCGGTCTGCTTATTCGGAGTCGGCGTGTTCTCTCCCCCAGGAGGAGGCGGAGCCTGAGCTCTGTGGCCTGTCCGATGGAACGGCCGACACGACCCTGGACCGACCCGACGACGCCGCGGACGACGCACCTGCCAGAGGGGCCGGCGCCCTGCTGTGCTACGCGGCGCACCTGCCAGAGGGGCGGCGCACCTGCCAGAGGGGCGGCGCACCTGCCAGAGGGGCCGGCGCCGACGACGCCGCGGACGACGCACCTGCCAGAGGCACCCTGCTGTGCTACGCGCACCTGCCAGAGGGGCCGGCGCCACCCGCCGGGCCAAGGGCGCCCATATGGGCGTCCGCCGTGCCTGCGCCCGCCGTGGGCTTTGACCGCCTCCTCCAGGAGAACCGGAGGCCCCTGCGCGATGCTCCTCCTCCTCCTCCTCCTCCTCCTCCTCCTCCTCCTCCTCCTCCTCCTCCTCCCCCTCCTCCTCCTCCCTCCTCCTCCTCCCTCCTCCTCCTCCTCCTCCTCCTCCTCCTCCTCCTCCTCCTCCTCTTCCTCCTCCTCCTCCTCCTCCATCCTCGCGTCCCTTGCGATCTGGCCGCTCTGCACTGTTTCCGCCTCGGGCTTCCAGGCCCAGCTTCGGCCCTGGGACCGCCACGTATCGATCTGGCATGAGGTCGGGCATGTCTCTCTCTACAGGAGGAGTGTGCAACAGATAGTCAGGCACTGCCCGGGGGCGATGTTTTGTTTAAACTATGTTTTGGCTATGCTTGAATAGTTGTTTGATATTTTTCTTTGTCGTCCAAAATCCACCCGTGGGAGGACATGCCCGACGTAAATCTGGCACGAAGAATGCAGCAAGGTGGGTTATAGGGCTCCTCTTGGGATGTTTCGTAATGGTGTACTTTGTCTCGGATTGGGAGGCCTACCACGAAATATTCGTAGAACCCAAAAATGTTCCAAGATCAAAAGCATGGTTCTTAGAACATTGATTTTGTTTTCAGACAGAAGCGTTCTACGAACATCTCGTGCAGACCACAAAAGGTTATTATAATATTCTTTGGTGGATCTACGTGTACGCAAGCCCAGACACTTCGCCACTGCTCGATTGTCGGGACGTCTGGTTTCCAGGTGAAAGCACGATGGCAGGCTTTTGGCCAGTGATCGGCCTCTGGTGGCCCTTTCTCGGGCCCCAGGGCCGTCAAGGCGCGACCCGGGGTCAGAACCAGGGTCCCCAGGTCAGGGGTCTCTCTGTAGACGGGCTAACGGATATGTAGGTAACGGTAGTGTGGGAATGCGTGGGTCGCGCTGTCCTACAATTCGCTGTGTCGCGCTCGCTCGATCCATTCGCATATAGGAGATGCAGGAAAGTGTGATTCGCGATTCCCTACAATTTGGTTCCCAACATCACCGTTAAGCAACATCGACGCTAGCCCTGCCTTGGTCTTTACACCTCTGTTGGGCCGGCCATGTTGTTCTCGGCGACCTAGATGGGATCATATTCGGGGTCGGAGGGTCGCGCCGCATTGCCGATGCGTCGGCGTTGTGGCTCGGTGTGGAAGACCGATTTCTCCACGCCGGTGTTATCGGCGATGCATCGCCGACGTCGCCAATGCATCTGCGATGCGGTGCGATCCTCCGACCCCCTGATCTGACCCCGCCTGGGAGGTCTCTAGTACGGTGGGGGTGCTCGTTAAGGAATGTTCCCCAGGAGGCTTCAGACCCTGGAGGAATCCTTATCTGATGAGGGCGGTGGTTTCCTTCATGGCCAAGCCTGAATTGCTGCCCCAGTGGATTTTTAGACCTCGGATTTGTTCTCCAATGGTTTCTTGCTTGTCCGATGCCCTCGCCGTCGTTGTGAACACACCCTGGCACTGACCCCGTCTTGCAGGCCTCGAGTTGGGAACCTTTGGATAGCGCCTCCCTCCGCCAGGTTCTGGTCCACCACGTTTCGGCACGACGCGCTATCCACATTCCCATCCCCAGGCGTCCGTGTCCCGAGCTTATTGTAGTGGCCTTCGGCCAGTGCCGCCGATCCGGGGCGCTCCGACTGATGTGATCCTTCTTCGCCCTCGTCCTTCCTCTCTTTCTCCCTCCCCTCCTCTCACTCAGCATTTATCGAAGACGCCTACGGCGAATCACCGCCGCCCCCTGCCTTTGTGGAAGCGCCTATGTGGCCGAACGTTGAGGCCAGACCTGCCAAGCCATCGGACCATGTGTTCCCCGAATCGGTTTGGAAAGCCTTCGGGGAACACGTGGGCGTCTTGATGGTCATCGTCGCCGTCTTGGAGGCCTCTTGGGCGATCTTTCGGCGATCTTTGGGGGCTCTTGGGCCGTCTCGGGCCGTCGGAAGGCCGAAAAAAGGGAAATGCCCAAATCCATCAAAAACCTTAGGAAAATCAGTGATTTTGGCATCTTTTGGCCTTCCTGGAGGCCCTCTTGGGGGCCTCTTGGGCCCTTTTGGGCCAGCTTCGAGCCAACTTCGGCCATCTTGGTGGGTTCCTGGCACGTCTGACGCCGTCGGGAGCCGTTTTGGGGGCCTTTCTGGGCCAACGGGGGACCCTCTTGGGGCGCTCCAGGGCCGTCTTGGAGGCCATCTTGGGCGTCTTGGAGGCCATCTTGGGCGTGTTGGAGGCCTCTTGGGCCGTCTTGGGGCCCTCTAGGGGCCATCTTGGAGGCCACTTGGGCCATCAGGGGGCTCTCTTGGGGGCCTCTTGGGCGATCTTGGGGGCTTCTTGGGCCGTCTTGAGCCGTCGGAGAGCCGAAAAGGCGCAAATGCCAAAATCCTTCAAAAACCAAGGGAAAATCAATGATTTTGGCCTCTTCGGACTCTCCTGGAGGACCTCTTGGAGGCCTCTTGGGCCGTCTGGGAGGCCTCTGGGGGGCCTCTTGGGCCGTCTTGGGCCGTCTTGGACTCTCTTGGGCCGTTTTGGAGGCCGTCTTGGACCATCTCGGGCGGACTTGGAGGCCATCTTGGGCCATCTTCGCGATTTTTTGAGGATGTCCCGAGCGAAACGGCCGTTTTTGGAGGATTTTTTCCGGATTGAGGTGTTTTCGGCTTCCTCCCGGGACCCCGGCGGGACGGGCCGGAGCCCACTGGGGAGTTCTTTTGGAAAAAGAACCAAAACCAAAACCTGACAGCTCATCCAGCACGCCGTGCACCCCTGCAAGCAGGGGGCGGCGGATCCAGTGGCCGTCGGCCTATCCCGCCACCGTGCGTGGGTGGTGGGTCAGAGGCCTCATGGATGCTGGTTGGGATCTCGTGGTTGGCTGGGACTTCTGGGGGCCTCTTGGGCGCCTCTTGGGGCTTCTTGGGGGCCTCTTGGGCCTCTTGGGGCCACTAGAGGGCCTCTTGGGGGTCTCTTGGGAGCCTCTTGGGGCTTCTTGGGGGCCTCTTCTGCGCCCCTTGGGGCCTCTTGGAGGCCTCCTCGGAGCCTCTTGGTGCGGGAGGGGTGGTACTCGAGTTCGGAACCCCCTCGGAGGCCACGATCCTTGTGAGGGGTGTCAAAAAACGCATCCGCCGGAAACTCGCACCCCCCCCCCCACCCCCCCTTCCCCGGCAGAGCCACCCCGGCAACCCCCCCAGAGGCTGAGGCTCAGCCTCGAGGCTGTAGCTGAGACTCCTTGAAACTCACACGCCGGATCGGCGGATTTCAGCCTCCCTCCCCCCCCCGCTGGAGCGGAGCGACACGCGATCCGCCGGCAAGGCATCGCGTGCCGCTGGGGCCGCCGCCGCGACACGCCGAGCAAAAAGCATCCTGCCGCAGGCTGGCCCTGGAGAACCAGATGCTCAGGGAGAGCACGCGGCTCGCAGAGGGCCAGGGCCACCCCGCCCAGCGGAGCGCGGTGGCCGCCGCGGGCCGGCAGGCGGTCGCGCTGGGCGCCTGGGCGGTTCCCTGTGGGGAAGAGCTGTCAAGCAGTGGCGAAGCGTCCCGGACTGCCCACAGGCCCACTAAAGAGCGTTCTAAGAAATGTTTGAGGTTTGCACGAGATGTTCTTATATCATTTGGGCGTATGAACTAAGAACATCGTTTTTGTTATTCGAACATTTTCGGGTTGTAAGGATATTCCGTGGTAAGCCTTAGGAGTGCCGGGACGGTCGGTCCCTGCTCAAATCTTGGAGGCCTCGCGCGGCGCGCAGCAGTGGTACCATCTGGGCCACACGTCGGCCCCGTCAGCTGTCTGACGACGTTCAGATTCCAACGTGAATCTGGCGCGCATCCGGCATACATCCTTCCCGATCCGAAGTGAGCCCGGCGCAAGTCCGAAGTGGATCCGACGCGCATTGGGTCTCAAGTTTGGGTGGTCACATCTGAACCCTACCCCCACCAACCATCCATTCTTCTGAATCGATGGGAGGCGGAGGTAGAGTTCGGATTTCGTCACGTGTTCGACGAATTCCGAACCCCACACCCCCGCCGCCCATCGAGCTGCCCGGATTGTTGATCGGCGAGGGCAGGGTTAGGACCTCGCCGCCGAAAGTTGCCGCGCGAGGCCTCCAGGAGCTTTCTCGTGAGGTTCCCATGGGCATGGTGGCCCTGCCCGTGCTCGCGTGCGCAGCACAGCCCGCGGCCATGCCGCCGGATGGCGGCGCGCTCGGTGCCACTCGGCGTGGCGGGCGGGGCGGAAGCACGCGGCTGGCGCAGGCGCCAGCTCAGGGCGCGGGGGCCCGGGGGCCTCCGCCCGCGGCGCCCGAGCGTGAGCGCACCACGGTCAGCCGAGGAGGGCCGAGTTTCGGAGTTTGAGTCTTGTGTTTTGAGCCTGGAGCTTTTCGGACGTCTTCGTCGGTTCTCGTCGGCTTTCAAGCTTCGGGATGCTCTCCAGCAGCTGCGCCTCGTCGAGAGCGTTCCAGGGGTGCCCGGGTCGTCCCGAACGGCCGCCGGAGGCCCGAGCGCTGACCCGAAAACAAGACGAACGGCGAGCGTCGGAGGAGAGCGAGTGGGAACAATCGTAGCCAGCTTGGGGCCCCTGTCGCGTCGGCGGGGCGCAGTTCGGGAAGCTCATGCGCTTGGACCCTGCAGAGGAGGGTCTGGGGGCCAGTTGTGAGCTGCCGTTGTCCCCACTCGCCCTGCTCCGAGGTCATGGTGCGCAACCTTCCCAACAACTACTCGCGCGTGATGCTGCTGGAGCTGCTGGACCGGCTGGGCTTCTCGGGGAGGTTTGACTTCCTCTACCTGCCCATAGACTTCAAGTCGGGCTCCTCCTTGGGGTACTCCTTCGTCAACCTTGTGGACCCGGGCGCTGTCCGCGCTTTCTGGAGCAGGCTCGATGGCTTCTCCGACTGGGACCTGCCCAGCAGGAAGGTGTGCAGCGTCGGCTGGACCGGCCCGCACCAGGGGCTGGACGCCCACATCGAGCGGTACCGCAACAGCCCCGTTATGCACCCCACGGTGCCCGACGCGTACAAGCCCGCCGTCTTCGAGGGCGGAGTGAGGGTGCCCTTTCCGGGCCCCACCAGGGCCACGCCCGCGCCCCGCGTCCGCAACAGGCCCCCGGGCGACCCTGAGGCGCCGCGCGGCTGGCCAGCAGGGGCCTGAGCCCCGGCGGTCGGGCGAGGGGGCCGCGCCTGTCCGGCGGGGGCTGCCACCAGTCGAAGGAAAGAACGCCACAAACAGAAACTTCTGGCGCTCCGCGCGGATTTCGTGGATCCGCGCCTGGCCCCCCCGGCGGCGCCTCCAGCGCCGCCCCCTGTCGCGCTCCGCGCGCCAGGGAGGGGCCCAGGGGCCCAGTCCAGATCTAAGAAGTCCGCGCGGAACGCCAACAGTTTATGTTTATGGCGTTTGTTTCTTCTAAGCAGGGGCCGCGAGCTCCTGGCTTCCATTTTTAAATATTGTTTCAAGGCAAACTTATGCAGGAGGAGTGGTTCTGCTTGTGGCACGGACCTGGTGGCAAGCGGAAGCCGCGCTCCGGCAATGTGATGGTGGTCTGGGAGGGTGAGTGTTTCGAGGGCTCATTGGCAACTACTGGGGTAATGCAGGCACTCGCAGATGCGAGCAGATGTGGCTGTGAGAACTGGCGCGGGATTGCCATGCAACGCCTCAGAGGGCCCGCTGATTATTCAACTCGCGGCAAATGCTACGCAGGCGCGCGTTTTGAGAAGCCCGACGTGAGACCGAACAGTTCCATCACTCCTCCCTCTTGGCTATTGCCCTCCTTTTGGTGGCCACTGGCTGCTCGTGCTGTTCATTGCCCTTGCAGCCACTTGCATGCTGGTTCGTCGTCCTCTGCGCCATCATCCTCAGGTGCCTCGAAACTGGAGCACTCGCTGTTGAACGAATCCTAGAGGACGGGTGATGGTGAGGGATGAAGGGTTGACGCACCTGGATTTTACACGACCCTCCGAGTGGCAGTTTGCACCCCTTCCACTGGACAGTGGAGTGCCTGAACATGCAGAATGGAGGAGTGTTTTTTGACCACGCGTCCTCCACCTCATCCTCTCTCAGACCAGCCTAGAGAACAGTGCGCGTCGTGCAACGTGCTCCAGGCGACAGTGCGTACAGAGGGAAGTCGCATGCTACTGCGGGGGCAGGGAGCCGTTGTTCGGCCAGGTCTCCGCCGCCGCCGTGGACCCACCTCGCCTAGGATTCCAGAGCCGTGCAGAGGCGCGTCTGCTTCGTGGCAGATCATGAGGGTGCGGGCCCCTCTTGCGGGGCATGTTCCCCCTAACCCTTCTCGGGTTGGGTCCCCGTTTGAATGGGGCGTCGTTGCACCTGCTTTCCTCCTTTCCCTTTAGCGCTCTTCCCCTGGTTGCGCTTCCTCGCTCATTTTTCTCGCTTTCCCCCCCCCCCCCCCCCCTCCACTTCCGACCTCCATCTTCCACCTTCTTGGGCGCCCGGCGAATACACGGATACAGTTTTTTCGCAAGTTTGTCGTCGGCGGGGTCGTCTCGAAGTTCGAGACCGTCTGGGAACGACTCTGGATAAAATGCCAGCCCCAGGAAAGGTTGCGAGATGTCTTGGGGGCCCATGTCTAGAAAAGTTGAGCCGCGGAGTGTCTGGGTGGTAACCACTGTGTGCATCTGGGCGTGAGGCAGTGCCGTTGCAGACCCACTCTAAACCTCGTGTCTCTTGCTGCTGCACCGCCGTACGCGGATCCAGGCAAGACCGAGCAGCAAGGAGGTTCCGCAGACGTCAGGCTGTCGCATTCCCTGGTCCACTGTCAAGCCCACCCGAGCGGCATCCGACGGGCCCCCAAACCAGATGCCCTGCATGTCTGGGCGCTGCGCTGCCCCACACTGTGTGGAGGCTCAAGCGTGCGTTCCCGAGTCATCGTCGGAGGTAGAGAGGTGAGATCGAAACGATACATACAGTGGAGACCCATGCCAAGAAATACCCTGGTTGCCTCCAGGGTGCCTTGGGTTTCGATGGTTTTGCTGTGGAAAGCGCGGCGCTCCCGCACCACAAATCAATTGACGTCCTGGGGTCTCAGGGTTAGGTTTCTTGTGGAAGGTTTCTTGGGGTCGGGCCCCTACTGTATTATAGATAGTGGGTTCGAAAGATGAGGGGCTTCAGAAAAAGGGCTCTCGCTTTCGAGCATCGAAAGAGCTGCCATATGTTCCTCGGCGGAAGGCCAGCGGAAGGTCGGCGGGAGGCGTCGGAAGTAGAACGAGGCTGCCTCCGCCGGCGGAAGCCGGCGGAAGGCGGCGGAAGTAACATTCGGTCCCCCAAGAGACGGCAAGGTTTTTTAGCTCAGGGCTTCTGGAACCGACCAGCTAGGAATTTCGTAGGATCGGGAGTCAGATATAGAGAGGTCGATCGATATTTTGGTAGTGGGATCGAACGATAGATTTTGCAAACCGATAGAAGAGGAGACCAATGTCAATCGACTGGCGGACGGCAAACATGATCCAACGACAATCGCAAACCGAAAGCTGCACCCATCCTCCCCCCCAAAAGCGTCCTCCTCTCACGAAGGGCGGTCCTAAACGTACGTTTTGCTAGTGCACGCGGTGTGTTGTCAGGAGTACTGCAGTCCGCGTCACCTATTCTTCCCCTGCCCTCCCCCCTGGCTCGGCGAGGAGTCGTTAACGAGTTGCCCCTGGGTATGCTTGCTCAACCAGGCCAATATACACAGTTCCGGCGCGGGATCGTGGCATCGCGCGGTCTGGTGCAGCGCTACGGCAGACTGAAGCTCTTGATGTGCAGCCAGGCGCTCGGCGTGCAGTGCCACATCTGGACGGCTTGCACGCTATGATTGTGGCCAGCTGTTCTCCCGCTAGGAGCCGATGTTCGCCAGAAGGAGGAGGAGGAGGAGCATGAGGAGGAGGAGCAGGAGGAGGAGGAGGAGGAGGAAGAGGAGGAGGACCTGGTCGACATCTCCGCCTGCGTGCCTGCTCGTTCGAGATGCGCGGGCGCACCCCAGTCGTGTGCGTGAGGTAGCTCCTACGCACACGATTGAATATGGATCTTCATGGGGAGCTCTTACGTCGAAGGCATGTGGTGTGACCGTACGATTGAGACGGGACAGGTTTCCGACGAGTTCTAGTATGCGAATGATACCCGTGCACAAGTCGTTCTGGGCAGATGATTGGGACTCATGTTGAGACGAGGAGGCATCATGTTCGGAGCAGCCGTACTGTATTATCCCCCTCGGGAGGCCACGCGAGCAGGACGACTTGTGCGTTAGAAAACGCTCGATCCGCTGAACATGTTGCTGAATGCATCCATTGTTTTTCCGCTAACGTGGTGCGCTCCCGATAAACTTCGCGGATCTCAGCGGAGGCCTTCCACATTCCCATCAATATTCGGTTGCGGGACGCTATGGGAGAGGTAAGACAACACCGAGCTCAGCTAGGCTTGGACAATGTGTTGCAAGGTCGGAGATGGCAAGGTTGGACTTCCGTGTCTTCCGAGTTTCATATCCGACACGGGGGCGGGGAGCTACTTGGATCACAGATTCGTGCCTTCAGCTGTGTTTTGGACGACTGAAAAGGTACAGGTACTCACAAGCCGTGCGACGAGGTTACATATTGCAGTGCACACGGAGCACCGAGATCACAAGTCAGTGATGGCGTCGTTGATTGTCCAGCTGGCAGCTTCAGCGCAGCCTCAGCGAACACTCCGCCCCAAGTGAGAGACGTTGTATCAGTGTGTTCAGACAGGGTATAACCGCCAGGAGGTCCTCGAAACCATGGAGAGGCTCGCGAATGAGAAGGTGGAGGAGCTCGGGGAGGCCAGGGTTCAGCTCATGAATGAGATCTTCATAGGAGTCCTAAGCCACGCCACTGTAGAGGTCCTGAATGAGCCCTCGCCCTACACAGGGACCCAAAAGGAGCACCTGCAGTCCCTGAAGACCCTACTGCACGAGAGGGGGGAACTTAGAAACGAGAAGGGTGACGACGAGGATCACGCCAGAAATAACACCAAAGCCATCAGCAAACAAGCACGAGAGCATAGTCAGCAGCGTTGGCAAGTCGCACAGCAACGAAGATACACCGGCTGAAGAAAGCAGCCAGGGAGCAAAACTTATCTTGTTCCCCAAAAATCATTATTCCTAGCATGCAGAAAGTGAGGGCCCCGACAAATACGTTTCGCAGCAGTACCGGGATCTACTGCATGCGCAACGAGCTGGGCAAGAAAGATGTAGCTCGCGCCGTTGGACGGAGGATGCGCAGCCGTAGAAAACACACGGTTCTGAAGGCAGGCAGCAGCTAGATGAGACAGAGGCCCTCTATCTTCCTGCGGGTGATTGGGATCTTTTACAGAGCAAAATTTGGAAGCTATGTTTCTGGCGACCATGGCCGACCTGGAGCACCCTTTCACGCGCGCGTGCCGAAGCACAGCACGAATATTGACACGGACGGCGAGCGCATCATCATGGTCATGTGCTCGTTGGGCAGAGCATATCACGCAGCTGTTCTGGCACGTAAGGCACCCCAGTGGGAGCCGCCAAAACTGGATGCGCGGAGGGCTTCGGGGGAGGCGGAGGGGCGCGGCGACCGGGGTGCAGATGGCGGGCGGTTTCGGAATGCATGCTGCCGGCATGGCTCACGCGCAGCGCTGCCACGACGCGCGCTGCGCACTGCTGCGCGACGCCGCCCTCGTTTGCACTGACTCCTGTTGCGCTCCAGAAGATCGAGCTTCCATCGGGGGCTGAATCTTGCACGACAGGTTTTCGTTTTGAAGCGAAACGGGGACCGTCTGGCAACTCGGATATAGCGGCCTCTTTCCAGGGGGCACTGGAGCGACACAGCTGTTTTATAGGACTTTTGCCGAGCCCGTCTTAGAGGCATTCGTCGACCTTGCGGCGGAGCGAGGGGTCGCCTGGGCAGTTTGCGAGGACTGGCTATTTCGATGACATTGCTAATGAGGTCTTGGAGGACGGGGGGGGGGGGCGATGGAGGAGACGACAGTCAGAGGGGGTCTGCTTGAGAGCGATGCAACCGACGGACTTGGGAGGGTGGGTGCAGGACAGAACACCAGCGAGCAGGAAAACACATGCTATGTCAGAGGCCGTGGGGCCCACGCTACGCAGAGGAGTATGCGCAGTGGAGCTGCAGGCCTTGCTGGCCGTGCTTTACGCCGCTGCAGGCATCTCG